CAGAAGTTCTTAAAATCTCAAAACTGTGTTATCACTAAACACAGTTTTGAGTTTACACAGTTTTGAGTTTTAGGAACTCCAGAACACAACCACTATTACTAATAATTACTTTCCATTGCAGGCAATATTATTTTACTATTTTTTAGTTTGCTAACCCTCTCAATAGCCTACTCAAAACAGGTCAAGACGCACACTATTCAGATAAGGAGATAAAAGTGATAGATATTAATTGAAACAGCATATTAATGGCAGTGACAAATAGCTGTGGCAAAAATGATATTTAAGTCTTAATCCCCCAGTTCTATTATATGTGCTTGGAAGTAATCATTACAGAAGTTAATAGAGTTGGATTTCTAAATAAATAAATGATTAACATATTTTTTTAAAGGAAATCAGACCGCTTGTGCTGCTATTTTGAACTTTTTAATCTTTACAAGATTCCAAACAGTACAGTTAATTTTATTAATTTGAAGACATACTCAATTTGCTTTGAACATACAAGCAACAATAAAAAGAATATTGTAGCAGTCATAACAGAGTCTAAGGTAATGCGCCTTTATAATATAATCCTACTAGTCCAGGCAATCGCCAGGAGTCAACAATGACTCGAAGGGAATACATACACACACACACACACACACACACACACACACACTTAAGTTTACTTTGCAGAAGTCCCAGTGAATTACTTACTCCCAAGTAAATCTGTTTGGGATGATAGGCTTAGTAAACATTTTAAACCTACTGGAATTCAAAAGGGAAAGGGAAAACGTTTAACATGGGCCTTTGATTTATATTTCATTCTTTCAATTTATAGTTCAAAAAATGTCACTCTTTCACTACAAATTCCCACCATATGTCCCAGAAAAAAAAAAAAAGTAATGCTGTTAGGAGAGTGTATATCCAGTTGTTAAATCAGTCCATTGTGGAGGATGTTTTGAAAAACCCTGAGAACTACCGCTTGTTTTTTGGGGGGGGGGGGGGAGGGCTGTTGCTTTTGTTGTGTCTGAGTAGCGGTGCACTTTTTAGTAACTCTGCAAACATCAGCATGAAAAGGATGTTCCTGTAGAGGCAATGAAGCATGAAATCCCACAGTGCCTTTACACAGTAACAACAGCCACATGAAAGAGCGACATGCAACATGTCACTATATATAATTACACAGCCTGGGGCGTTGATGAAAAAGAAACTTAGTAAGGCTTTATTTTCTAAAGTATAAGGGCAGGCACTCGCACCCCTCCCCCGTACGTTTCTCGCATTTAATTTATTGCCCGCACGCGCATTTTTTTCACGTTTTAATATTTTCGCAAACGGTATTTCTCACTTTTAACCACCTCCACGCGCCGCATGAGTTCTTTATTCATCCCCCCAGATTTCCTCCTTGGAACCGCTGCGCTCCCTGATATCGCCGGCCCTTCCACATTAGCCTTACGGGGTTTCTCGCTTGAGGCATTTGGCAAACGGGCAGCAGCACCAGACGCCCAATTCGCTCCTTTAAAAACGTATTTTCTAGCTCATAAGCGTTGCTATTTTAAAAATGCTTTGATTGTCCCACTCGTTCCCACGCGCCCTAACCTCGATTTTAACTTTTTGCCTGTCTCCATGTACCTCCAGTTCCCTTTATTCAGATACATCTAGAATTGTTTCTTCTGGCTTCCCCGCGGGGTTCCTCCCGGCACGCGCCCCCCGCGCAAACGCGGAGCGGATCTGATCTCTGTTACACTTCAAACCCACTGCTTGGGTTGCCGCGCGCAGCCCCACCCCGCACCGTCCCAGAAGCCGCGGCAAGACCTCTTCCCCGCGCGCCCGCTGCCCGAAAGGCGCTGAGGAGCGAGGCGCTCGTTTCGCCTCGCCGCTCCGTCGTCCCCGGAGGCATTCGTCCGTTCTCGTGTTCTTTTTAGCCGTTTGGAAAGTCACTCCCAATTGGGGAAACTCTATGCAAGTTCCTTCTGTGGGACCCAGTTTCCTGAAACACTTTTCATTTCCTTTGAGGGAGATTTAATTTGGATTCAGTTATGTAACTTTTCATTATGAGTCTTTTGAACTAGTAGGACGGTTTAAAAGCGCAGCAATGTTTACGCTGATTTACATGCCATTCTCTAAAGCTAAAATGTGAATTCCAGCAGCGCTTGTAGATCGCATTTATGTTCTCTTTTCATCCCCCATCATCCAGGGAAGGGGATAGGTGGTAATTACATTTTATATTCTTACCAACTATATAGGTAAGGTAAGAGGTAGCTTAGACCAACAGGCTTTCTTATCAAATTTGGAAATGTTGGACTTAGAGTGAAATTTGAGTGGACAACTAAAGTTTGATCCAGATGAACGTGGTGCCTATTTGAACCCGCACTATCCCATTCTGTTACATTTTTAAAAATGATTTTCATCATATCTATACACTATATATAATGCATATGTATGTACTTGTGTGTGTTATATAACATCATTTCAATCGATGCAATATATTTCAACTTTCTTATCAGCTTTGTGGAAAGGTAGAAAAAATGAATTTCCTACCAGCTTCCCAATTTCACTAAGAAACATGTTTGATGTTTGCCGTGAATAATGGAGAAGGACGAAGAATCCACCTGGGAGTCAAGGAGTGGAAGGTGCAACTCTTTTCAAACGCCACAGTCTTATATCCAGCTGCTCTGTGGGCAAAAGACTTGAACAGAAGGCGGATTTTTGTCATCCGTTCAGTGGAATGCTCAGGATCTGTTCAGGAATGGTGCCCAAAGCTCGTGTTCCTGCGCTTCTCCCTCCCAGCTGTGAGGCCTTCCAGTTTTCAAATCTGCTGGCTTCTTATCGTCTTCATAGAGCCGGCTGCGCAACGCCTCTGAAGGCATCCAGGATCTCTTCACTGGTTATGTGTGAAAGCCAAGCAACTGACATTGCCAGGGCTGGAAGCTAGCGTGCAAATAGAAGGTGAAGGAGTCGACGCACAGGGCGAGAGGGGACTCACCCCTTCGGAGGATAGGCCTGCTGGAAGACAGGCAGGCTGCCGAGCGGTAGTAGCGCCTTGCAGGCTGCATTTCCAAAGCCAGCCAAGCTGAAATGGGTCCGGTTTCTACTGTATTCACACGGGGAGGCTGTCTTAGTGCCGCCAACACCTACGGGAGATCCGCAACAAGCCCGTGGTCTCCTGCTTTTCCCAGCGTGGGCCATTTCCTTCACAGTGCCTGCATTTGCCCTTCTGTCTTAATATTCCACTTCACCTCTCCATTTAGCCAGCACCCGGGGCTCTTGACTCTTCCCTAAGCGCAACGTGTCCCTCCACTTCCTGCTTATTCTTTTAGGTCTTCTTTGCTCCTTTCAACTGTTGTTCCCTATCCCCCTTCATTTGTTCTCTTCTTTTCTCTTGCCTCCTCTTCTTTTCAAGAGCATGTTTTAAAGCACTCTTCCCCACCTTCTTTCCGAGAAGCTCAAGGCAGGCGACCACACCAGTCATTTAACAAATGAGCAGCACAAAATAATAATCTATCCCCTTTGTTCTTCCTCCCCACGACTTATCCCTTTATCCCTGTTGCTCGTGTGAACGACTGCTACTTTGGGAAGGGGGGCCCACCTGTCAGTGGTACCTATCCAGATCCCAGTTCAAAGCAGCCTGATTCCCAACAGACATAGTGCTGTTGACTGGATGAGGTGACCTTAAATGCAATTGGGGTGAGGGGTTGCCCACCAAAACAGAGTGCAAGCTGTGAGAAAGAGTAGGAAGACGTCAGCAAGGTGGAAAATGCTTCCGATGAAAGAACAAACTTCTGAAAACAAGTCACAAAGCCTAAGCATCTTTAAAGCAAGACACAGGACTTCGTGGAGATACTTAAAACACAGAAAGTAGAATAAGCTAATGCAGCTTGGCTTTTCTTATGTGATCGGTTGTCTCCCTTTAATATTTCTTAAGGACGCCTGCAAATAGACCTTACTTGTTTGGAAGAGGCAACTGTATTATTTCTAGATATTTACATTTATGGACTGCTTTTTTTAGACAGCCATTCCCACTGCAAGATTCTGTAGAATCTTTCAAAGCCTCCGCACGTCCCGAATTAAGTACTCCAAAAGAGACCTCTCTGTTGCCTTCTCGCTTTAAGTTTTTCTCTGCTTCTGAGAAAGAATGGCCTTGGGGTGTTTTAAAAGTCACGTCAATCTCTTTTCATACTTTGAGATGTGTGGTGCTTAGAGTTCAGCGGGGGAAAGAAAGGTTGACCCAAATCACTCGGTAAAGGTCAAAAAGGGATGAGGAAGGGTAGACAAATCAATCCTGTGTAGGTAAGTGTGTGTGTGTGTACATACAGTATTAATCTCTCTCCGGAAATTTTGATTGCCATTTCTTGCTTTATTCTGTGCTTCCCGTGTAGAAATAGATGGTCGCATAAGAAAAGCTAGCTAGGTATTAAATGGTTCCTAGCCGGACCACAGTTTATTTCTCATGCCCCTTTTTTTTCTGGGGTTAGAGCTTAAAAAGTGCAGGCAGACACGCCAACCGTCTGCGCGGAACGACTTTTTAAAAATCTGTTTGCATTTTGCTTCGCCGAGGGCACGCTTCCGCTTTGCGCGTACGGGATCCGCGAGGCAGCCAGCAGGCACAATCGCTTGGAGCAGTTCCTGCCCAAGCTGTCCCCATCCAGCCAGGCTCTGCAGACCTGAAGGTGCCTCTCAGCCAGCGCCAGCCCGCCGTCCTCCCACCCCCTCTTCCCTCCCGTCTCCCTTGTGCGCGAGAGGCGCTCGGGGCTTTCCCACGCTTCCAAGACACCCGGGAGAGCTTGGCGCTGCCACCGCTTCGGCGCATTCAGCCAATGAAGAAGGGAACAGAAGCGCTTGGCAAGGAGGCCTGTCACTCACCCCTCCGCTTTCTCAGTCCAGTGGCTCGCCCGGGGGGAGGGGGAGTGACTTCGCCGGCTGGGCGGGGCCTGGAGCTTGAGGCTGAGCTGCAGCGTGGGAAAGAGCTTCAGAAATCCGTTCGGTTTCTTGGCGCCGGCGTTGGGGGGGGTGGGGGGTGGGGATAGGCGGGCTCAATCCAGAGACTGTCCAAAAAGGAAAAAAAAAGCCTATTCACAACCTCAACTTCTTGCTATTTATCTCCTGATTTGGAAGCTGGACTGTCTCCTTTGGCTACGATGAAGCGACCTTGCGAGGACACTACCTCAGATAGCGATATGGACGAGACTATAGACGTAGGGAGCGAAAATAATTACTCTGGGTAAGGAAAGGCTTTTTCTTTATACCTTTAGCCTGTGCCTCTTTGCTGCAGCTCAAGAGGGAGGGGATTTAGGAGTGCCAGTGCCTCAAGCTCAGCGTCACGGACCCCGGCTGTTCCCTGGAGCCCTGGATGTGTGGGACAGTGAGCGAGGGCCGTTCTTGCCTTCATCCGCTGGGCTGTTTGATGCTGTATTCTGACTTCATGGTTCCCACATTAAGATACCCACTCGTCTCTTTATACTTTGACTGACATTCTCACTTACCTTCTGGTGGCATGTTTCAGCCAGACTTCCAAATGCAGATGTTCATGAATACCCTGTGTAAGACTGTTGTTTGGGCAGAGGAAGAAGTCAGGTAGCAACAGGAGTTTTATCATAGCCAGATCTATAAATATTAGAAAAAGAGGAAGCTTTGGGTGTCCTAGAATGTACTTTGGAACATATTAAAGGGAAAAAGCAACAGGAAGAGGTAGCACTAGAAGGCAATTAACATGTTCAGTAGTAGCAAGGGAGTAAGTAGAATCTACTGGAATGTGAACCTGCAAGATCCTGTACCAAAAAGCAAGACTTTTCTTTCATACGGTTAATAGGTCATGTCAAAAAAGCCTTGCATTTGAATTTATATCTCACAAACCTTAAGTGATGTGTATTGCTGGAATTTCTAGAAGTGGACTTGAGAAGTGAGGGGTGGTATTAGAAACCACATTGCCGGGAGATGAAGATGCTTTCAAAGCAGGCTGCCTGGGGTTCATACTTTTATCTTCTGTTTTTAAAGGCTTTTCTGTTTTTCAACTGCCTTTTCCATCTTTTGTCCTATGTATGTATGTATCTATAAAGGATCCAGTGGATTGTTCCATAGTGCCTTTTGACCTACAGTAGTTGGACTCATATGTCTGGAAGCACTTTGGGTTTATCTGCTAGAAAGGATGGGTGGTAAGAAATTCAAGAGAAAGAAAGAGGTTCCATTATTAGAGTGAGTTAGAATCTCAGTCTGATTACATTTTGCTTCCAATAAGAGGGACGCTGTTTAGATAAGTGGAACAAGGCATGCTTCAACTCATCTATCACTGCACGATGTTCTAGTGCTTGTCTCACAGTCCTTAGACTCTGAGATGTCTGTGATCCAGTGATTGAAGAAAGGCACCTATTAAGGCCCAGCAAGATATATTCACAAGAGTGCTGTCAATCAGCCTAAGAATTTTAGTTGGTTATTCAGCTACAGATATTTAAGTATTACCAGTTCCCAGGAGAGAAAACAGGGTTATGTTTCTTTTATTTTCTGTTGAAAACAGTACAGTTAAAAAGTACTGTACTTTATGCACACAGTGCTGTAGGGCTTTTTAATATATTGTGATTATTGTGATATTGTGAACAATTGAGAACATATAGCAGCAAAATTACTTTTACAGTAAATTATGAAATCATTTATTTCTTTAACTGGTAAAATGTCTTTTTTCTGGGTTTGCTGAGATAGTAATGTTTCTTTCCACTTCTAGATCATTGCCTAACATTATGTAGTTAATCCAATTACCTTAATAATGCATTTGAAGTTAATCTTTATTGATTCCTTGCTTCAAGGCATGTGGCATTTAATGTTAGCCAGTATGATTATATTTGCTGCACAGGTTGGTAACTCACACCTGATCACATCAAACTAGCTAGTGCAGATTAACTGGACAATTAATCTTAATTAAGTTAACTTTATGGAAGTTTTAAACCCACTTTAGAGTAGTCAAGTCAGAAGGTAAATGTAAGTGGATTTAGGAACTTTGTTCTAAGGGAAAACTTAATTCCACTCAATATAACTGTTTGAATAAAGCCAAAAAAGGAGCTGTGCTAAATGTATAGGAGACAAATAATAGGGTGTGTATGTGTGACAAAGGCAGGCACAAGAGCCTGCAGTATTCTCTAAATAGATGGGAAGTTAAAAAAAAGTTTAGTCTTTGTCCATATTATATATTTGTCATGTGTATGTTTATTGCCTCTTTACATTTTTCACTTTAAAAGTAAAATGTACTGCATTATCCATTCAAAATGCTAACTTGTGTCACAGCGGTCAGCCAGAGAGATTGGAGAGAAATAAATCAGTACAGCTCACAAGTGAGTCCAGGCAGATTGCAGTACAGTCAATGCGGTGTACTCATGTTAGTTATTATTGGCTAAAAGAAGCAAAGGACAAAATGGCATTACTGACATTAACGGAAACGGCACCAAAAAATGCCAAGTGGGCAGAAAGTTTTTTTTTAAGCATCATTTTGCTAAATGATGGGCATCAGCAGTTCCTCAAACAATTCCTCAAACAAACTACTTTCATATCTTCATCAGTTACAATGCAGAATTTATGCCTGAACATGTGTAAACTGAAAAGTTAGTTCCACAGATTTTACTGAAATGTTCAGACTTCTAAGTGAAATCCTGTTCTTAACCTTTTCTTTTCATACAGAGAAGTGATTTCTGTCAAAAATATCCATCTTGCGTTGGTTATGTATTTTGCTGTACTTAAAATGCTTAGTAAAATGTACAGAGTAGGACTCTTATCTTTCTGAGACCACAATTTCTGTACCTTTTGTAAATAATCAATATTTTTATTATTTCTGCCATACATGTGCCATTTACCGATGAAAGAAGGCACATGCATTTCGTATTCACGTAATTGTATCCAAATACAAAAAGTATTGTCAGCAGCAGCCTTGAGTACTCTCACGATTAGAATTTTAATAGCAGTGTTCTTTTGAGACTATGAGCATCCGCTTAATTATTATTTAAGGATATCTCCTAATCTGCCTGAAACCATTTATTTTTTAAAATACACTTTGTGGCTTGCTAGTCTAAAAGAAATGATGAGGGGGAATTAGTTAAAGTTTGGTTTATGCTGTTTTCAGCTTGGGTTAAAGGATCCATTTGAAGGGCGGGGAGAGATTAACTCTGTAAGAAACAATGCACCAATGGGAACCAGCACCTGACATGCCTTTTCACTGTTTCTTAGGCCCAGTGCCAGTTCTGTGATCCGGTCAAATTCTCCTACTACAACATCTCAGATTATGGCCAGGAAGAAAAGAAGAGGGGTAAGGAATTCCTTCCACAGTGTTTGTAATGTAACATTTGCAGTTGTTGTGTTAATATTCTCTCTTCCTATAGCTTTAGAGCTTATATGCATATGCTTTTTGTTTTTATTGGAAATAGATTATAGAGAAAAGGCGCCGGGATCGTATAAATAACAGCTTATCCGAACTGAGGCGACTCGTACCGACTGCTTTTGAAAAACAAGTAAGCCTAATAAATAAAGTAACTTGTTTGTCCTCTGGTCATGTTGGGTCTTTCACAGAGCTCATGAAGGACTGGATGTGCCCTGATCTGGCCGAGCAGGCATTTCACTAAAATGCTTTGTTGTGGCAAAACTATGAAAAGCAAAATTCTCCACAAAGCTGAAAAATAGAGGAGTGTTTTTCCATTAATTGGCCAAGCTCAAGTAACCCAATTATTATTTTAAGACAGTCATTATATGTAAGTGGCAGGATTTTTTAGAAAGGGCACAGAAAAAGAGTTCTGTTGCAATATGTGTGACTTATGTTATATTTCTTTGAAATGACCCAGAAAACCAATATTTTAAATGGAAGTTTTTCCAAAATGATCACGAGGGAAAACTTGTATTCTACTTGCAGAATTGTCCCAGCAGTAAAATGAAGGAAATATTTTGCTGTGATATGTGCATTATATGCTGTATTATGTGAATATGCTGATTTGAAAGATTCATAGCAGGATGGGAAATGTTAAAATGTTTCTTATTTTGCATAGTTTTATCCCTACGGTTAACTATAAAAACCCTAAAAACAATTAGTCCAGGCATCTCACAAAAGCTGATGCAATCTGTAGAAACTCATTTTTAGCCATTAATTTCTGAATGTCAGTGAAATTCCATGTACTTTTCTTCAAAAACATTGCTAAATACACAATCAAAAATTATAACTGGAATAAAGATTTTTACTAAATTCATAGGATCATCATAAGGGATAAAATAACTTGGATTTGAAGTACAACTTTTATCCACCTCCCCGCCATCCCACCCATTCCCCAAATAATTGGTCATTAGCCTACAGACAAACCCTACAAGCATGAAGAGGTGAGCATGCTGGTCTAGGTGTAGATGTGGAATCAGCTTAGGTGGTAGAAGCAATTTATGCTACTTATAGAAAAGAAAACTCTTGATAAACATTAGCTCATGAACCAGAGAAAATAATTATTTCTCAAGTATGGTAATTTCAACAATAGCATAGGTTTTAGGATGTTTTTGGTACTTCATCCAATTCTGGTTATGTCTGTAACCTCAGAAAATAGAGGTCTCTACATTCTTAGAGAAAAAGATTTTCCTTCATCCTTAAGATGTAATAAATCAGCAATTTCAACTTTGAGAGCTCTATCATTAGATAGTTTACAACACAAATGTCTGTAAATGTTTTGGAGTATAGGTTTAATGATAGATTTGCTGCCTTAGCCCACAAAAAATAAATGCTATGTCATACAGAGTGGTCAACCTGCATGTTAATGGGTCCTTTTGGAACTGCAAAAAATTGTTTTAAGGCATACTTCCCTTACCTGGTGTTGTCCACATATTTCATCTGCTATGCTAGGTAGAGATTATAGACTTGTATTCTGAGATATCTAAAAGTCACTAGATTAGGGAAGGATATTCTAGGCATTTATAACTTAACCTTTAAAGTTGCCAGGGTGTCTAGAAAATATATAAACTACCATTAGAAATATGTGTGTTTCAGCTCAGAACACTTACTTTAGATTATTTCACTTAGTGGGTAAATATGAAGCTTAAGTTGTAGAGTAACTCAGTATAAATAAGATCTTCTTTGACTCAAGTAGAAAGTGATGGGTTATGGTTAAAGAACAGATTATACACAGAATGTAGATGTGAGGTAGTAAACTGATTATAAAGTGATGTAAAAAATTAACAACAAATAGATAGAACTACATTCTTGGTGGCCACACTGTACCTTGAGGAATTTGCAATGGGGTCTGTTTTGCAGGCTTTGGCAGCATGAGAAAATGGGGGTGTTTTTGGCCAGTCAAAGAAACTAGGACAAGAGTTAACACTTATTTGTCCCATTGCATTATTTACTTTTAGAAAACTGCAAACATTGTAAAACAAGGCTTCCAGAGCCCTTGGAAACTACTCAGGGCCAAGTAACTATAATTCTGCACTATATGAAAAAGATTAATACTGAGGACAGGACTACTGTAGTTCGAGGGATATGGAGGAAAGTAAAATTTTGAAAACAATTTAATATAACTAAATACCAGCACCCATCCACCCCCCCCAACCCACTGACACAATTAACTTTATAAAAGTAAAATTTAATGTAAAGAAGTTTTGAAATCAATTTTCAAATGACCTGAAGCCAGGTCATTATGGCTGCTTCATCTTGATCTAAAATGGCTGTTTTTAATTATTTTAATTGTATCGCTATGGAAAGTTGATGTAATTTCTTCCAAAGAAAAGTTGCATGTCCATTCTCTACTGGGGGTACTACTTGAATATTCATTAGCAAACTTGCATGGTTACCAGTTACATTTAGAAGAGAAAATTACTAGTTCAGCTGAAACTTTATGAAGTTGAACAATAAAAGACAACAATAGGTACTGGATACTTAAGCAGAAAGAATAAACTTTAAATGGCATCCTTAGGTCCATCACTAACAAGAATGAGTTATTTGGAACCAGTTCATTAATTGATTTTACTACAGTACATTATTAAAAATGTGCAAAACATTTCAGGTTAGGAAGTTCTTCAGTTACTGGTTAGAGAGGAAATGTTCATTTAAAGGCCTTTCCCAACTTGCACATGACCTCTGGAAATACATGCCCTGACAACCTCTTCCTTTTCTTGTGTTCCCAAGATGTTCCATCATCTCATCCTATGAATGAGACTGGCTTAATTATGTCCCGGTGTTAAAGTTGTGTTTCCCCCCTTGTTCCAACACTGTCTAAGGGCAGCCCAAGGTATATCAGTCCTGTTCAGTTTTATCACTTGTTATCCATGATGACTGGCAGTGATTTGATTGGGAGTGGGGCTTGCAATTTTCACACCAGTGTAGTCTTCTGCTGGCGCAGGGATAGGTGGGTAGCACTTCAGATCAGCTGTGGGGAAAAGCCAAAAGATTATTCCAGAAAAATTGTTTCAGAGTATGGGTTTGACCTTGGCCTTTTCACAGTATCCTACCTATTGCACTTTCACAATGCATCATGATCTCTGTTTTCAGGGGGTGGGGGTGGGATTCTGCACTGATCATTTAATTGTGGGCCAGATGCACTGTATGCTTAAAGTTCCAAATTCGTTCTGTGACACTCCTAATTAAAAATATCAAATCTCCGGTGATTCGAAAGACAACTGCTACCAGGCAGCCTAAGATGAATAAATAGAATTACTTCATCCAAGGGAGCTTTTTGTATGATTAGATGTTTTGTCAAATAATACATTCCTTTGCTTCCATATTCCTGAATAGGAAGCAAGTATTAATAATCCTGTGAATATGTAAGTAATATAGTTAAGTATTTTTTCAGATTTTCAGCCAAACCTTCCAAGCCTTTTCCATCATCCTGAACCTTTTTATTTAGAAGCAAACTTTAGTAGTGTTAGTAGAATTGAAACACCATGTAAGGTGTTCAGATTAGAACAGCAAGTCATTATTTGACTCATGGATGTGCCACAATTGAATATGTAAACAGCTACTGTACTTTAAGTGAAGTGAGTTTAAATCGAAATCCTTTTTAGGCTGCAACTGCAGGACCTTTTTCAAACTGAGGGTTACAGCTCAGCCTATGAACATAATGCCAGGGTCACACTCTAAAAAAAAGCAGCAGGATCAGGATAAACACAAATTTTAATTATGAAAAATAAAATAAAATCAAGTTTTAAAATAATATGATAACTCCCCATGTGTTTTAATTATTTTTGCCTTAATAATTACAGATGAGTGGCAGGTTTGGGAGGGGCTACAGTTGTGGTCTCAAGGCTTCAGGTTGTACTTCCTTGGACTACAGTAACCCTTGGATACTATCTCTTGGGCTCAATCTTTACATGTCACTATGAGACCTATTTCTTTAAACCTGAATATATATTAAGCAGATAATTAATTGTAGTGAAAAAGCTGATGGGTGGTAAGGGATTGTTAAAGCATCATCATGCCTAGATGCATCTCAGATGGGGGAGGGTATAAAAAAGGGTGATAACCACAACTATGTAGTCAGAGCCCCACCTCTTTTTTGTGTCTGTTGCATGTAAAAAAAGTGCAGGACTTCAACCACACATGCACCTGATCATGCCCACTGTTAATCTGCTATCGCTCTTTCTCCCAGCGGGAATCAGCTAATATGGAAACAGGCTAACTAGAACTTCTGCCTGATTCTCTGCCCAAGAGGGAAACAGGACTACGCTAGAACTAAAACATGTAGTTACACCATATTATAGATTCATATGAATAGGATTCCAATTCCTGATTTGCAAATACATTTTTAAAATAATCATCTATATACTGCTAAAACTCTTGGGTCTGTAACCTTCAGCTGGGTGAAATGGTGGGTCACAGGGCAACAATTTTTGAACCAAGGTACTTCAAATGGGCTAACTTACAGAATGCATCCAAAATCTAGGACCCATTATTCCTGTGGGATTGAAATTTGGGAAATTTGTGGCCGCTTCAGCACTGCTGTGCTGCCATGCTGCTGCTCAGCCCAGGTCATGTGATCATCATGGGCATATCCCCAACCTCTTTCCCACTCCCTCTGTCCCCTGCGCCCAATCAGCTGGCAGCAAGGTCTGACAGGCAAGCAGTGATTGGTTGCTTAGGAAATGAGGCAGAAATTTGACATTTCTTAACGGTTGTGGGCATTGAGGGAAGGAGGTAGGGGTGGCTGGGGGGGGGCACTGGCGGTTGATGGGTGAGCCCTCTTTCTCCCTCGAGGGAGGAGGCCCTTGGGGACATGGCAGAATGAGAGGCAGGGGTGCAGTTTTCCTCATGGTCTGTGGCTCCCTTTTTTCTACCTCCCCCCAGCAAAGTGGTAGGCAGTTCTGCTGGTCAGCTGAGGAGGAAGAGGAGGAGGCTTCACCAGGGCCCTCCTGAGGGTCATGAGGCGAAGACAAATGGTGCAAGCCTATATTATATGTGGAAATGGAGGGAGGAAGGAAGATTTCTGATGCTCCCTGCCAACTTCCCACAAGCAAAGTCAATGGGGAAGCCGGCAGCAAGTTGCAAGTCGCTCACACTCCCACTGCTTTTTTGTCCTAGGTCATTCTGTTTCTCTGTTTAGGTAAGGAAATACCTCTGAAATGATGACCCATCGGGTCACGAGTTGTCTAGTATATCAGTAAAACTAGCTTGGTATTGCTTTTCATAGAGCACTACTGGGCACAATTTGGTATGATGTTTCCCTGTACCAGGAAAGGTTGTCATGATTTTCTGCACTTTCCTTTTTTTTTTTTTTTTTTCCAATTTGGTTATATAAAGAACCTTGTAGTGGATTTTGCAAATGTTTTCACTGTGGTTGTATACTGATTGTGCTGAGTTTGACATTGAGCTATATAGCTTTACTCTTACGTATTATCATTGTCTATACTTCTCCGTGCTCTATAGAAGCATACGCATTATTTATGTCATGTTAGGCAGTGTGATATATAGTTCTTGTGTGTAATAGTAAAGTCTGGACTACAGATGCTCCATGGAAGAATTAAACTGAGAATGCTCTAATGGTTGGGAAAATTGAAACCATAAGATGGAGCTCAAAAGGGAGGATGCCAAATCAAAGCACACAGTACTTTTAAGCCTTTATTGTTTGTGCCTCTTATCTCAAAGGGATCTGCCAAATTAGAAAAAGCAGAAATCCTGCAAATGACAGTGGATCATTTGAAGATGCTCCAGGCGACAGGCGGGAAAGGTAAGGAACTGATTTTGATCCTGCTTCTCATGTTAGCAGAGGAAGCCTTTGCAAACACCCCTGGCAGTTCTGGATTAAAGGAGTGGAAATTGGTGCTCAAGGCAGGGTTGGACTCGTGGGAAAGGAGTGCCGGGACAAAAGGAGCACTTGACCCTGGGCTTGTGCTGGCTTTCATAACACTGTGGGAGAGCAAAGGCTCCATTCAGAGGCAGCCCAGTCAGAGATCTGTTTGGGGTTTCCAAAGAGCACTGAAATCGCACAAGGGAGACAAAACAAATACCCCAAACATAAACAAAGAGGGCTGCGGCCACTATTGTGAGGCACGAAACAAAACCAAATTTAAAATTCATTATGCAGTTGCTATACCACGGGAAGTGGATCCAGAGGAAACTTTCCATATTGTTTATGCACTGCCCTTTGTTCTAGAAAGAATGTTTTCCATGCAAAATTAGACTGCGCCGTTCATAACCAGAACAACATCTAAGCTTGGATCTTCTGGGTGTGGGTTAGCTAAAGAGGAAACCCAATATTACTGGGAAAAAGAAAAAAAAAAGTCCACCATAGGTGCTTATTTTGTGGCCTGACATGTTTCTCTTGTGGAATTGGGAATGTAGTACAGAATGTGGCCTAATAAGAGAATAAAGTAAGTGGCTCTCCTTGATTTAGGGAACAGTTTTGGAAATGCTTTAAAAATTCATAAAATTAAATATGTGAAGTGCTTTAAACACTCTACACAATATATTAATGATGATGATTCATGGGTCAGAGCTTGTCCTCATTATTTAGGAAAGCACCAGTTTTTAGTTTTGTTTGTTGCAACTTTGGATCTATCTTGGATCTATTTATTTTCTATTTATTAAGACTATTGTATATTGTAATTTTAATCAGTTTTAACTGTTTCAACGAGATGGGCAGTGACAAATTTGACATATGAATAAATAAAATAAATAAAATAAAGTTTATCATATCTCTCTACCATGCAATCCTGTCTTGTTTCTGATAAGAGTTAATCAGATCTTATGAAGAGTGGAGGCAAAACTATTATACATAAAGGATATACACATAATATATCCTTTTGACAATTTGCGTAAGATATATAGTGTGAAGAATATATCATCTCTGTGCAGTATTTACTGTACTTCCAAAAATGGGTATTTTCAAGCTAATTATATTTTCTTATGTAGCTTGTCTGTCAGGAAGGGGATTTATGAATTTGATCAGTCTGAGCAGCAATCATTTTTATTGGGAATGACATTCTGGAAAATATGGCTGTTTATCAACTATTCATGTGGTTTCCATTCTTGCTGACATAAATGGTTGCAAAGATTTGTATTACTAGTTTCCATTTGCCATTTATGATCATATTGGGCTTTTTTTCCCATGTTGGAAAAGGATAGCGCATTGTATGTATATCTGAAATTCCATTGGTCTTACTCCTGAGCAAGCTGCAAAGAACTGCATGTTTAGAATATAAAAACAGGAGCATTTAAAAACAAGAAACGAACGTGCTGTATAATTGTGTACAAGTAAGAAATTGATTTGTTTTATTTATTTTTCTTTGTTGGTATTATTGGGGAGAGAAACCTAAGGCTGCAATTCTGTATGCGGCGGGGGGGTGGGGGCAGAATCTATGATCCTCCAGACCATGTATCCTCTTAAATTAAATAAATTTAACACACAGTCCTAATCCATGATAGTACACTTATTGCTGCTTTACATAAAAGGTGTCTAGGCCTGTGTTAGTGATTTGGAACATAGTAGCTAGTACATAAAAATAGTACAGCTTGACAAAGAAAGGTAACTCAATTCAGTTTCAGGGGTTTATATTTTGTTTAAAGGAAGCTATTGGGAACCATTTAAGTCCCAGTTTTTTAATATCAATAATGTGTAATCACCTCTTTCAGGATTACCTTTTTTGGAGAACCATTGTGGTTTTATTATTGCCATAATAAAAATGTGGCTTTGCTTGTTTTTTTTTTTATTAGAAATTTTTAAACAGGTAAAAGATAAACATGAAAATAGAAAATGAAGTTCCGAGAGAGAGAAAAGATAAAGAAAAACTGCAGTGAAGAAGAAAAGAAAAAAATAGTTAAAGAAACAACTTCCAATCTTCCGTACAGCAGTTACAAACAAACTTATTGTCATTCCTCCCCATCAAGGTTACATCCCATAGTTCACTTCTTCCCACATTCAGCCCTTTTCAGTCAGAAAACCCAGAAATCATCAAGGCTTTTTTATCCATTTTCAGCAAAAAGTTGATAAAGGGTTTCCAGCGTTTTATAAGAACGTGTATTGTTTTGTCCCTGATCAAGCAGGTTGCTTTACTTGTGTTGTTTTGATATTACCAAATCAATAATGTTGCCCACGGGAATATTTTAGGTTGGGAAAGATACACTTATGAACATAAGTGCCATGCAGAATCAGATTGGTTTCTAGGAGTTGGCACAGGTAAAGTTTTTGCCATTGTCTATTACTGCATTGTTTACTCTGAACTTTAAACTTCTTAGTGGGGAAGGCAAGCCCCTCAGAGTCCTTAGGGTTGGAACAGCCTGCAAGCCCTTGTAAGAAAATAAGAAAGTAAATAAATAGCCATTGTCGCTAGCAACTGTTTACTTCCTCATCACTGAGTTTATCTAACCCCATTTTAAAGCCATCTGAGGCAACTGCCTCATCATGCTGTGGTATCAAATTCTAAAGCTATGAAAGTGGTCACCAATATTGGGTTTACCCTGTACTTCCCCGCAGTTGCATAAATAATCAAATAATACGTTATGTGACCTTCAGTTAAGCAATTTCAATTAAAGCTGTTACATAACACACGAATGCCTGTTAGATGACAGTGATGATGATTGCAAAAATCGTGCGATTGTAATAATAATATAATTTATTATAGATTCAATGCAAACATTTAATGCAAGTCCAGTTAAATTGTGTAGAACTTGTGTAAAAGCAGCGATACCCTCTATTATGCTTTTCTAGAGGAGTGTTCATTAAAGGAAGAGATAGAACCCCTGAAAGTATCAGATCTGACTACTAAGGCCTTACAAATCATGAGCCAAAAACACGAAGAAGCACTCACTACAGAAGAAAACTCCTTGGAGTAAAAAGTCTCTAAATTACTCTACTGGCAGTGGTATTTGCTTTGTATTTGCTGCTGCTGCTGCTGCTGCTGCTGCTGCTATTATTATGCTCACATCCCAATGTTCCTTCAAGAACACATACATAAGGTATCATACTTAGCACTCGTCCCCCTATTTTTCCCCACAGCAACAACCCTGTGAGGATGATTGTGTGGCTCATCCAGTAGTACTTTCAGTGAACCTGACCCTGTGTCCTCTTACTACTAGTCCAGCACCTTAACCCGTACAACTCAGTGCCTTCTAAATAGCCCAGTGACTTGAGTAGTATATCTGAACTACAGCTGAGTAAGTGTGGAGGCTTTGTTTTATTTTTTGTATTTATTGCCTTTACGTTCCACCTTTTCTCTGGGCACCCAAGGCAGCCTACTGGGGATCTCCCCTCATTTTATTTTACAACAGCCCTGGGACATAAGAAGCAGGATTATACAGCCAAATTTCTCAATACTCAATAGTGTTCATTAGTATTTGATGCAGATGTGGGCTTTTATCAGTAAGAGGGTCAAAAGCATCGTAGTAGAAGTTCCATTTTAAATAATCAAATATTTATAAATATATTTTTTTATAATATCTATCACTGTGATGACAACTTTACCAAGCTAATTTACAAGCCATCTTCAACAGCTTGTTTCAGAGCTAAAGTACATATTCCAGGCTGTGCTTTACATGAGAGACCAAAGAAGCGTCTGATGGTTAAGTGTGTTTTTCCTCTGTGTTCCAGGTTATTTTGACGCTCATGCTCTGGCCATGGATTTCATTAGCATTGGGTTTCGAGAATGTTTAACCGAAGTTGCGAGATACCTGAGCTCCGTGGAAGGTCTGGACACGGCGGACCCACTCCGAGTCAGACTGGTCTCCCATCTCAGCTCGTGTGCTTCTCAGAGGGAAGCTGCCGCAATGACCTCGTCCATGGCGCATCATCCCCACCCTCTGCACCCTCATCACTGGGCGGCTGCTTTCCACCATCTCCCTACAGCTTTACTGCAGCAGAATGGATTACACCCCGCTGATGTCTCCCCCTGCAGACTCTCCACAGCCTCAGAAGTGCCTTCCCACGGCTCGGCTCTACTCACTGCCACTTTCGCGCATGCTGATTCCACCCTCAGAGTGCCCTCGGCGGGCAGCGTCGCTCCTTGCGTCCCACCACTTTCTACCTCTCTCCTCTCACTTTCTGCCACTGTGCATGCTGCGGCAGCAGCGGCGGCTCAGAGTTTCCCTCTGTCTTTTGCTGGAGCATTCCCAATGCTTCCCCCCAGTGCAGCAGCAGCAGCAGTGGCAGCCGCCACAGCACTTAGCCCCCCTTTGTCTGTTTCGGCAACCGCTAACTCTCAGCCACCCAGCAGTAATGGAAACACTAAACCCTACCGACCTTGGGGCACTGAAGTTGGAGCTTTCTGAGTTTTCCCTTCAAAGCCTGCCCCAAACATTCTGCAGTCAGAACAGAAAGTTCTTGCACAAAGCATAGGTGGTTAGTAGCTCACGGAGCCGGATGGATTCTCAAGACACAGAAGGGGAAGAGCAAGTGAATCTGCCATAAGATTGGTCAGAATGGAGGTGTTTTTCTACTTCGTTTGAATCAGACCTCATACTGGATGACCGTGGTCTTCAAATGATGTCCTGTGTCGCCATTAATCCTCTTGCTATGCATTTTTATTTGCCAGGGAGGTGATGTATTATAGCTCAGAAAGTCTTCCTGAAAGACAAGCCCTGTCCTAAATGCTTAAGTGCCTGCCCTCTTCCGAATAGGCGGTGTGTTTATGTGTTACTTTGCATCTTTTCTAAGGCAAAACCACCATGCGAGCATGCAAATGATGCTGGAGAGATTTGGAATCACATAATGAGATCCAGAATAGGGATACAATTTCTGAATAAACTGCACACAGTAAGGCGGCAGTCCTTCAGCATCAGTGGGACCCCACCAAGCTGTGCGCAGGGTTGAATTTTAAGAATAACAACGTTGCTGAGATTGTATATACTTAATCTCATCTAGTTTACCTTCATTGTGCAGATCTATCAAATGTTTGCAATGTAATCTTGATAAAAGTGCTAAACCTTCAGCGTGGTTTAAGAAGTTACAAGCCTCCTGGCACTTTCTGTAAAACCGTTGGTGTCAAGTTACACTCAAGTGTACATAAGTTGACCATCGATTTTATACCAACACATTTTGATAAAGTCACAGCTGATTTGTCTGGTTCATCTTTGCAAGCTAGAAAACAGCTTCCTTCAGACAAAATGAAAGTCTTTTTTTTTCTTTTGTCACAGAAAGAGGTATCATTAAATAGCTATAATACTTTACCCTTCGGCCATACTTAACAAAAAATTATGGCAATTTTAGTCCAGGAGATCTGGAGGGAACCAGACTGTAAAAGATTGAGCTGTAGTATCAGCAGCAGGAACCTTTGGGTTGGTTTTTGTCACTGCTATTTGGTTTTCTTTCTTTTTTTCTTTTCTTTTTTGTACGGGTTCAGTTCCCAACCCAGAGGATGTAAGTTATGTTTTTTTAACTACCCATACAAGCAGTACTATAAAATGTTTTGCTTTGTTGTTATTATTATTATTACAGCAACATGAAATAACATAAGTATTTTAATTCATTGACTCAAGAGCTAGAGTTAATGTTGGGGGAGGGCAAGTAAAATAAAAGCACAGCATGTATTATGCACTTCATTTCTCTGCTGTGTGGAGAAAGCAATAAACATTGAGAATGTTAAACATTATACAAATGTACTTTTAAAATATTTGTTTTAAAAATACTGTTCCTAGTTGGGAGAAGGGGCAAATTGTTCATTATTTTGTTAACCCTTTTTTCTATGCAAAAGTTTTTATGTATCACTAATTAAATGAAGTCCTTTTTTGACTGACTTCCAGATATTGTTTTGATGTGACCACTGGAAGGGAAAAGATTGAATGTGTTAAAAGTTAATGCAAACCCAAATGGTGGTAGCTTCCTGGAGAGGGTGCATTGTGTTGTGTAACTAAAAGTATGTGCAGTATATTGTCTCATTTAAGATTCCATTCAATTTAGTTTCTTAAATGTGTGGTGAAAGTATGCTAAATACAGTTTAGTGTTCAAATCAAGACTAACTTGGAGCTAAATAAGAAGTGATAAGCACACAATTAACTATTGCCTGTTTGTTGAGTTGTTGATGTAAGTGGAAGCTACAATGGTGCTGATCTGGACTGGGAAAGTTGCAGCCCAGGTGTTGGGCTGCAACTTTTGTTCCTGTAATAGTCTACTCCAAGATTGCTTTTTGCATCTTCTGGAGGAAAGCTGCTGTCACTGATAATAAGAGTTTTTCTTCTCTGAGCAAATAGTAGCTGCAAGGAGCTTGATCTGGGCTAAGGATATGGGAGGATTCGATCCAGTTTCCCTCTGCTACATAGTCCCTTGTCCTCATCTTCACTGCAGGGCTGCCCCATGATCAACACTTGGTTTAGATCTTCTACTTTTAGTTTAGCATCACTTCCAGTTTGTCTTTATATTGATTGAAATTGTTTGCTGATACTTATCCTTCATAGCCCAGTGTGTTCCATTGTGGGAATTGCAGCTGTTCAGAATTTCTACATCAAAACGATTACCTCTGTGCCCAAAGGAGTAGCCATGCAAAGCAAAAAAAAGTATGTAGTGTTCACATTTGTAGTTCTCAGTGGATGAGCCAATCAAAAAAGGAAAAAAAATCTTCCAAGAGCCCAGGGCAGGGTTCTCAATGTGTTTGATAGCTATAAAAATGTTTCTTGCAACCTATAGTTACAAAAAATGTTACCTCCAACATTAAGGGCTTTTACTTGAAGTGATGGACTATATTTCTGCTTTTTTAAGTCAGTTAAGGAACTCTGAGAGGGATTGGAGAAGATTGTCTACACTGGGATAGCCTCCTGTTTCATAGTTTCTCTGTGTTTGCCTTTTTCTGTCTTACTGTAGATAATATTAGGTATTTGCATCTTATTCTCAGCTCATTATACTTTCAGTACTTTGCTGGTCAGTGACAGTAATAAAGATTAGTACAATAACAAAGTTAATTAAGAGACTATAATTTCACTTACAGTTCATCCTGACTCCCAAACTACCCAACTTCACAGGAGCATGTGGGGAAACTGACTCTCCAGATGTTGCTGAATTTTAGGTCCCAGAATTGTTTATGATGGGTCATGCAGGTTGGAGCTGTTGGGAATTGTTCTGGAACATAGGGGTTACAGTTTTCTACTCTAGACATAGATAGTCACTGATTATTTTATCTATTAGGAAGAATATGTGCCCCAGAAAGAGCCAGGAATTATTTTTAAACAGTGGGGAAAGTGTGCAGAATATGGCTTCTGGATTTTTTTTTCCCCCTACGGCTTTATCCACAGTCACCAGAAGAGGCCTCTGTATTTTGTTCTATGTAACAGCGTAACAGGTTCTCTGCATGCACATGCTATGTGCACAGACTATTTGAGGTGGATGGATATGTGTTGCATTTGTGTTGAATTTGTATGTGTTCTTGTGCACTGGGAAGTATGGGGCAGGCTGCGTGTGCTCCATATGACCAGGAAGGAAGAGGGAGGGCGGCTTAGAGTGGAGGAGTTGGCAGCATTCTGAGCATCTACCCAATTCCCTCTCCCGGAGGGATGCATTGGAATTCAATCTTCCTTTTGTTGGCTTCTCCCACTGCACCAAATTTGGTTCTTGTTTATTTTTGGAGCCATCCTGCTGACGAAGGGATGGACAGAGTCCAAGCCCTAAACATAATTTCTTCCCAACATATCATTTCCTAACATATCAGTGTTAGGAAAAGCATGGAGAACATGGTTTCTGGAATTCTTTCAGTCCCTTCATCAGCTGTGGCCATGGGAGGAGTCCATCTTTTCTCCTGTGAAATGCACTAGTGTGTTGTGTCTGTTGGTGTGTAGGCGTGCATTGGGAAGCACAGGGTGAGCTGCATATGCTCCATCCTGGGTCATGTGATAAGGAGAGATGGCGCTCAGCATGGAACCGTTCCAAGCTGCTATCCAATTGCATAGGGGATGCACCAGAGTGGACCCTTTTTCTCTGCAGACCCTGGTCAGATTTGGATCATTTTCAAGCTCAATCCTCCTCCTACTTCACTCAGACCAAATTTTGATCCATTCTGTTCAGTTTTCAAAGTTTTATCCTGCTAATACGTGGACAGAGTCTTGGGTCTGCTTGCGTACTTTTCTTCTTGACGTTCTGCTGGGTTGGAACAAATAAAAATGGAAGATGGAATGATAACCAATACCAGGAATTCTTCTAAGGCCTTGTAGATAAATTATCCCATGCCAGCAAGAATTCAGTATATTGTTAAGAAAATAGTGGTGAAAGTTTGGCTTGCATGACGGGGCTAGAACTTTTTCTGCAACACTCCAAAATTAAACAACCAGCAACAAATCTGTCCATCTCCCACAAATAAAGTCTAGTTCTGCTGTTCTGTTACTTGCATTTCATCTATATTGGAAGCAGTCAGGTCATGGAGTTCGGGAACAGAGATGGCCAAGTTAACTGGGAATTTGGGAAGCTGTCCAACACATCAAAGCCACTAGATTGGAGAAGTCTAATTGATCATCACCACAATATTGAACTAATCATTGCAGTATGACCTATAAAAGAAAAAAGGTAAATCATTTTTGGTTTTGTTCCTTCTGTCCAGCAAATGTGGCATAGAAATTGGAAGCTAAAAATGTGTGCAAGCTTGTTAGATCCATATATTTTAATTGACTTTTACAACAGTTATATTGTTGTATTAACTGTTGTTGGGTTGTAATGCGTGAACTTTTTTTTCATTTAAACATCTCTTTAAAAAAGCACAAATAAGTTATGAATAAGATACCCTTTTGGAAAAAAAAGTTGAAAACAAAATACTGCAGGCTGCAGCAAGCATGAAGGAAAAATATATTTGTCTACTCCAATTAACATGACCTTTAAATGTTTCTGTGTTCTCTGCCAGGATCTGGTCAACCATACGTGGATGAGTCATCTTAGTAAATCACTATTCACCCACAATGTGTTTTTCTGAGAATATGAGGATTATGACACTCATTGCTTGCAGGCCACTGACAATTATGTGAAGCAACCTTAGCAATAAACCCAAGCATTATCTTGCTCAACACTGACCAGTTCTCACACTATGTTGAAATCCAAGGATACCCAGAAACAGAAGTAGGAACTGTAGGAGACAAAAAAGTAAAGTAATACTTTAGCAGAACAATGGGAAGCTTATTTTCCAAGCAGACCATTTTATTTTGAATAAAAGAATTTACAGTTTGAATGAGAGAAATATCAGTATTACCTAAGACTTGAACAAACACTAATTACTGTAAAGTCCTCTTAGTGACAGAAAGATTTAAGCCCATGCTTAACTCAAGCTTTGGGAAAAGGAAGAACACAACATGCTTAACTCTCTCTGGAAAAATACACAATGGGACTTAAAGGAGTTTGAATCAACTGGACGTTGCCCAACATTCATCTGTAATATAAACACACTACAGCTTTGTTGATTTTGCATCTCCACTTTTCATGCCTACGCACAGTTAAAGACAAATGTGTGTTCATTTCTCACACGCCTCTACATAGTTGAGCTTTTCACAAAAGAAAAGCAAATTAAAAAATCCTTGCAATGGGATTTCCAAACTGCTGCCAAGTCAGGTGATCTGGATTTTTAGATATCTAAGCAAGTAGGCATTAGGGGATCTTCTAGGTAGCTAGGCTTTTCCATAGGCACTTTTATATGACAACAGCACACAGTACAGAGCTGTTCAGAAGGAATGGTGGAGCACATAGTAGAATTACATCTGAATTTCCTACCAGTATGTACACTGGCCTCTTGTGGATGTGCCTTCAACAAGAAAGGAGTGTTACAAATGTACAGATGTATATGTTCAAGGTTCCTCCATGCGATTGCATCCTGCGGAACACATCTGGCACCTGAAAGGCCTTCTTCACAGTGTTGCTGAGCACTTGGCTGGAGGTAAGAGCCTATCTTTCACATGTACTGTGAGCATGAAAGAATATTAATAAAAACAGTCTTCATATTTTTGCTCTATAAAAATATGAGTTACAAATACTTTTTAAAGAAGTGATATATAAATAAGTTGACAGACATTTTTATAGCTAGACAATATGCTCAGAAATGAGAACTAGTATATTACAATGACTGGTGGCTACTAGCTAACACTTCTCTGACCCCTTTGGGGAAGATTGTAATGATTGGATTTGGAATATACTGTAGCTGGAAAATGAAATGGAAATTTACATTTCTGCAGCTAAATAGAAGAAGAGGTTTGCAAGTATGAGAGATCCTATTAGTAGACTGGGGGAGTAAAAGCAGTAATACTTGATTTGAGGAGGAGGGGTCATGTTTTTCAGGCTAGTTTCATACTTAAACTTGCTGCTAGGTAATCAGATACTGCAAAGAGTCCATGTCTCCAGTCCTCATTGTTTCCAAAGAAGTTCCAAAGGTGAAAGTGAAAAACTCCAAGGCACAACAGTAGGCAGAGGCATGTTGGCGGAACATCTCTGAAATCTATCCCAAAAGGTTCCAAAGCGCTTCACAACCATGTATAAAATGCTAACGCTATGCAGTTATTAAAGCTATCAAACGTACACCTTGATTACAGTTGTAGGTATTTATAAAAGGTTTCACTAAAAATATAGGAAGCTACTTTATAATAGCCTGGTCTACTTGTTCACTTAAGGTAGGATCCTCTAATAAGAACTTGTAAGTGCCCTCTAGGGACACCCAAGTACCATTATGCTGAAATAACAATGAAGACAAGTTTGCATCACCTCAGCAATAGCTGCTGTAAGTCCTTTATGGGGATCTTGCCCTAGTCCGGTGTTGCTTATGCCAGCTGACTCCACGGTCCAGAACACTTTCTCATTGTCAGCCAACTTATCCCTTTAACTGGAGATGCCATGGATCAAGCCTGTGATGTACTGCAATGAAGTGTGGGCCAATGCCATTCCCTAAAGTTTCAAAGTGATAATTTCCTAAAGTTCTTTCAGAGAAGAAAATTCCAACAAAGAGAGAGATTTATTTGTTTGTTTGTTTGTTTGTTTGTTTATGCATGCCATTTATATGGCCGCCCAACTCACGGCGACTCTGGGTGGCTTACAGAAATAAAAACCCCAAATACAAAACCCACTACAACCCCCCCCTTAACCTCCCAAATAGTGTCTAAGCAAACAAAGAAGCCAGTTTTGGACCCATCAGGATACTCATTCTGGGGTTTCCATTTGCATTTTTGCATCCTTTTAGATTTCCAAAATAGCTGGGACTAAGAATCCACCACTTCATTAATGTGAAAACCTGCAGCCGTGCTTCATTTGTAAAATGCAAGATTCTGTGGCACAAATCTTCCTGAAAGTTGTGTTATTTAAAAACCTCTTTCCTCTCCTCTGATTTTGGATATACAAAGCCTAGTTGAGACTTTTCCCCATGTTTAAATGTGGTCCCTATTATTAATTAATAAGTTCCAGACTTGGATTCATGGCATATATAGCTTGAAATGTACCATCAGTGCTTTCAATTGCCCTCTGAAATGGGCTGGTACCTAGTAAAGTTCTCAAACAGTGGCATATGTTCAAGATTATCCATCACTGTAATTTAAAGTACCAGTGTTTATCTGAACCAACTGAATTTTTTGAATAATTTTCAAAGTGGCAATTGTGTTAGTCTTTTATAGCAAAAAAACCCAAAACAAAACAAAAAACCCAAAGTGGCACCTTGAAGACTACTTGTTCTGTTGAGTTGTTACAAGTCACCTTATAGTTTTTGAAATAATCTTCAAAGGAAGCTCAAGCCAATCCTATATCTTACCAGGCATATAGCTAACTGGTGAAGATATGATCTGCTTATTTCTAACCAGAAGTCCTTCTTTGCATGGCACGGTAGCTGATCTCCAAGAACTCGGGATGAGATGGTCCTACTACTTAAGATAATTTTAATAACCCCAGCTTGTGTCCTGTTAATAAAATAGAGAGGTTCCCTCTTCCTCACTGGAGAATTTATCTTATGTAATAAGGTATATTGATGCAATGATATAAGAGAAT